AGCTGGCAGGCATGCGCCAGGCCAATCTCGTGGACTCCTTGGCTCTGTGTGATTTCCTAGCTTGGCTAGAGGACATCACCAGTTCTGCCCAATCACCGGCAGGCGGTGGTGCGGGTAGTTCCGACCCTGATCCCTGCGGGGTTGTGGCCGATCCCCCCAAGGTTCTGAACGAGGCCACTCTGGCCAACTACCTGGATAGAATAAGAGCTGCGGCCGAGGGCTGCAAGGGCCTTAGCTTCTCTACCATATCCGGTATTGGTAAGTTAGCCTCTTTTTCAGGTCAATGACCTTCCTATCTTTATTGAATAATCCTTGTTATCATTACCGTCCACTTCCCTGCCAACATCGACTGTCAACTGGTTTCAAGTGAAGCAGAGTTGTGGAGCATCTACCCCATTTTTATATTTGTTCATCTACTCAGTTCAGAAGACAAGACAAAGTCCGAGAACGCGACATGGACATGGCCCGTCTACGCGTGCCATACACGAATTAGGCTTCAGTGAGGGGAGTTGGTTTTATGTCTTACGAAGATTGGAGGCTAGAGAGGCCGTGGTGGGAAAGTTTAAGACTGTCAGTCTTTCAAGCCGCACTTTTCAGTGTGCTTCAGTGACCAGCGGACGCCTTCGCTTGTTTATAGTGAATAAAATAGATGCTATGTCAGACCAGGATCTAACTACTAGCTTTCCCTCATGTACTATGTTCTAAAGACAGGACAAAGTCAGCGAACTGAGCACTTAAGTGGCCCGTCTACTCGTGCCGCACACGAACCAGACCTCATGGAAGGGTGCGAGTTTTACATCTTACGAAGGTTGGAGGTTAGGAAGGCCACAGTAGCAGATATGGTTAATACTTACAACCTGGTGGCAGCTTGTTAATATTACAAGGTTATTCCGCAGTGGCCGGTGGACTGCGATCCAGTGGCTTACTGGATGTTCTGCCCGATCGTCTTTTCTGTCAATCGTGTAATCTGACGGATGTGGTATCAATGAGCGTTGCTGTAGGGCCATGTTAATAGGCGGCCATTGAAATCCTTCCTTCAGTTTCACCGGCAGAGTTACTCCATCATTCGGTACCGTCCCTTCATGCCCAACATTGCTTACCGAGTTCAAATGCGTGCTGGCAAGAGTATAGTGAGGGGCAGATAGGAGATTAGTCTTCATCCACTGCCTTCTAGATTAAATCGGCTGAGTTGGCTTACTTCGCGCCCATCCATTGTTGTAAATGTTGCCAAAGCCGAGATATCACCGTCTTATTACGCTTTGTGTGAATTCCCAAGGAAGAACACAACAAGAAGAGCGCGGAAGTAGAAGCTTTTTTAGCGTTCTAAGTACAACATATTTAAGTTGAACGAACGCGTGTGCAGCCACGTCCATTAGACCAATCAGATACTGTCCTCGAGCAGGTAGCGAATCAGTATCAGTATATTGAGGGATATGTAGAAAAAATTCCTTTGAGTGCCCTATTTGTACATATGTGCAGTGGTAGC